TGAGGTGGTGCTTCACATGGAGTTGACGTAAGGAGGTTGTTACTAGTTCTGGATTGAATACAAAACAGCTGTATCCAAAGCCATAGGAGTTGGAGACATTGAAAAATGAAAGGTCATAGTTGTGACACAAAGCCAAGATAGAAAACAAGCACTACCATTACTATTCACTCAGCACTAAACTTGGCCAGTGAGGGGTACTGCCCCGAGGGTACCAAACACTGGAACTTGTGCAACAACCTTCTCACACTCAGGTTATGGAGCTGAACAAGTTATGGAGAAATTTCTAGCCACACATTTAGGCAATTTTTTGTTGTTGTTGTTGTTGTTGAAGAAATGAAAACAAAATGTAAATTAAGTTGGCTTTTCATGAAGTTCTGCAAACTCGCAGACCTTGCAGGGAGCTAGGAATGTACCTCATTTTAGCATCATAGACTTGAGCCAAGGTTTTTCATGAGCTACTTTTCCCTGTCATTCTCATTTTGTTTCTATGGTATTCATGAAATAATATGGGCTCCCTCTGGTGGCCAATGATACCTCTATGGACAATAACAAAAGTGTCTCTCAGTGGATCAACTGTCTACTTTCTATTTCAGAACAGAGTCAACTGAAAGCCTGCTGGGGTTCTATTTATTAAGAATTTTATTTTCTCACACACACATACACACTCTATAATTAGAGTCACTCATTCTTACCATTTTTAAAAGTTTTTTTAAATCAGTACTGAGAGCTGATCATATAAAACAAGCCAAGTTATTAAAAAAACAAAAACAATTAAGCCACATGAAAATATCTAGAAAATTATTAGCCATTTGGTCAAAGCACAATCAGTGCTTAACTGGTGTCCTATCCCACCATTCAACCCTGATTTAGGGCTCCTGCATGTGATTTTATGATATCTAGGACACGGGTCACATTAGCTCTGAGTCTCTTTTAACTTGATGGTTTATCATGGTTAACCTCTTCCCTTCAGGAGATTGTTTTTCCAGCTCTCACATCTTTATATGTGGCTGAATTGTTCTTTTTTCCTAGCCTGGCCAGTTTCCCTTAGGAAGCGTTTTCAATCAAGCAACAGCGTCCCAGCCTCATAATGAAGGCAGGGAGGACAGCAAGAAAAGTTCTCTTTGTATAGAAGATGCGAAGGAGGAGAGTTACATGAAACACAAACGTATACCAAACATAGCAAATAAAGTTACAATAGCTAGCATAAGTATTGCTTTAAAATCAAATACGGCTCCAAATAAAAGGAAGGATCACCTTACATTAGCCTATGTTCTGGAAAGGGTAAAATTAAGCCTATGAACTTGATTCTCTCCTGTGACTGAGTTCCACTCAGTTCTGGCTTGTTGGCCCCAACGAGAGTTGGAGCAGTTTCCAAGCAGCTCTAACTTGCACCACTGACCAAGGGTCCTTAATTGACTCTGTAGAAGGGAGGATTGCCTTGCTTTGGTCCCCCAACTCCAATCACCTAGACCAGGGGTAGGCAACCGGTGGCACGCGTGCCAAAGGTGGCACACGAGCTGATTTTCAGTGGCACTCACACTGCCCGGGTCCCAGCCACTGGTCCTGTGGGCTCTGCTGCCGCCCTGGGGTCCGGTCCGCCAGCCCCCGCCAGCTGGAGTTCCGTCTGCCGGCCCCGCTCAGACCACTGCCGGCCCCAGGTCCTGGCCACTGGTCCGGGGGGCTCTGCTGCTGGCCTAGGGACCCAGCTGCTGGCCCGGGTGTCTGCAGCTGCCCCCAGCTGTGGCCCACTAGCCCCAGCCTGGGGCAGTGAGGAGTGCAGACAGAGGCAAGAGGGGGCGCAGCTCAGCACCCCCACCTTAAAAATTGTTCCAGCGCCACTGTACTGGGATATTTTAAAGTCCTGATTTGCTGCTTACATCACTCTCACGCCACGTGGAACAGCGCCCGGCGTTTGAAGTTGAGATAAGAATTTACTTGCAAGAACTGGAATCAGAATTTTCTGACAGATTTCAAGATTTCCAGCAATTTGGCCCAATGCTTTCTTTTCTAAGTAAAGCTGAAAAGTTCAATGAAAGCGACTTGGATTGGTCTGTATTTCAGTGGATGGGTGTTGAAGATTTCAAAATGCAGCTCATTCAGTTAAAAAGCTCAGAATTGTGGGCATCAAAGTTTGGAGATCTGCAAAGCTACCGAGAGAGATCATGGGGCCTCTATTCTGACCTGCTGGATGTCCCTGCCAGTGAAATTTAACTGTTTGAAGAAAACTGCGATTGTAATGCTTTCAGCATTTGGATCCACATACCTGTGTGAACAGATATTTTCACACATGAAATCTGTCCTCTGTCCCTCTCGGAGCCGGTGAACAACTAATTACTCAGAAGTGTGCAACTTAAAGTATCCGAAGAGGTGCCAGACATTGGAAAACTCAACAAGGAAAAGGAAGGGCAAGGATCACACGAAACTGATAAGGTCTTCATTTTAATTTAATTTTAAATGAAGCTTCTTAAACATTTTAAAAACCTTATTTACTTTATAACTAAACTACTGTATGTATATTATAGACATAGAAAAAGACCTTCTAAAAGCATTAAAATGTATTACTGGCACGCAAAACCTTAAATCAGAGTGAATAAATTAAGAGTCGGCACACCACTTTTGAAAAGTTGCCGATCCCTGACCTAGACCCAGCACACCCGCACCAGCCAGCAACTCTCCTCCTACAGGGGAATTCTCTACTGGCCAGTGGCAGCCAGTTTCTGGCCCCTTTGCACCTTCTGACTGCTGCAGAAAGGCCAGATCTGAGAACAGATTCTGGCCACAGCTTTCTAATGATGTGACTTATCCCTGCAGTTCCAGATGACTTCAATGACAGTTGCAGGTGATCAGCACTGTTGAGGATCAGAGTATTTAACTCGGGGTCAGAGAGGAATTTAATATTCCTCAGCAAAGAATATTGGAGGAAAGGCTGCTACGACAAATAAAAATGGCTGTCAGCTGAACTTCAGACAAAACTGAAAAATCTTCAGTTTTATATAAGGGGAAGCGTGGTCACCACCACCAACTTAACGAAGCACTCATCTCTTTGGAGGAAGAGTACTACACAGGTACAAATATTATTATTGGTTGACGGGAGGCAGGATTGGTAGCAGGTTCACAGTAACTGTGTATCACCAGTCGCTTCACAAAAGCTTTTCTTCTTTCTTTTTCCTTACAAAATTACTCTACTACAATTGCAACAAGTATTTGACCAGCATATAGAATACTTATTTTGAATATCTTCCCCCCACTCATTCAAACAAATCCATCGGCCCTTTAACAGAGTGGTGGCTCACCTATGCAACAAAAGAGACTCTTGGATCTCAGTTGCCTTTTGTACTTAAAAGGATTTTTCAGTGCTTAACACTTAACTCAGCAGGCATCAGTACCTTCCTGATTACAAGTACTCTGGTTAACAAATTTTGCAGATCAAGACCTCGATCCTGCAGTGAGCTGTGTGCACCCAGAGCCCCACTGACTTTGCCAGCTCTGGTCCCAAGGCGATAATTAGCCTTGTCAGCAGAAGGAAAGCACAGAACAGAGATGAAGAGCATCAGGTCAGCTATTGTTAGTTGGGAACACCAAGGGAATAAAGTTAATTTTCCCTCCTCTGAGCCAAAATGTGCATGAGAAAAAGAAAAGGCCTTTCTTCCAGACTTTCCCGGACATTCAGATATGGGCTGAAATAACCCTGATTTGTTTCTCAACTAATCTAGTCTGGTTGCAAGACAGTCAGCCCAGACATGGAGCATAAAGGCCATTCACGTTAGCTAACCACAAGCAAATAAATTAAATACAATTACTACAATTGCATTAATGCTTTTAAAAGAGCCATGAGTCAAATATTTTATAGGCTATTATGTATAATTTTAAGGCTTAACAGCAAAAGGAAAAACACACCACCATTTTTGTCTCATGAGTAAGGAATAATGCTGGGAGCCAGACTGTGATAGTTTTCTTGTCCAGTGTGTTGGGAAAATCCCAGAATACATTTTTTATCTACTGGGTTTTCAAATGCTGGAACTTTCAGCTTTTTATACAAAAGTAATTTCATCTTAATCAGTGCTGTTTAGGTAGACTTTGATTTCTGTACAAGACTAAAATACACTCATATGGAAGCTTTTGACCTCAAATGTTAAAATTATCCCTCCGTGCACAATGTACAGACAGCTCTACATACCGTAAGCTTTCCATATGTAATCTCTTTAGAACAAGTCAATGTTGAGTCAATAATGATTGAATAAATGTTTTAAAGAAAATTTAGCACTTCCGTGCATTTTCCATCATCAAACATTGTCCAATCTAGCTCATCTTCACAACACATCTGTGCAAAAAAAATTAGAAATGCTCCATAAGGCGAATCACAAACAATTTACTACAACCGCTGAATATTTCGAGTACATTTGTGTAAATGTGATTACCACGCAGACTAATTGAAGATGTTTATTGTTTCTAAAGAGGGTGCTCTTTCAAAACAAAACAGGAAGATCTTGATTGTCTAGGAAGTTCATTAAACTGTGTGAGGGAATTTAAACAGCCAATGAGAGTTTTCATATGCAGAGCAATGCTGGAGAAGCTACTGTCGCATCTTAAAAGGAGGTGGTGATACAGCTTTTAATTATCACACTGATGTTTAAACTGCAGAGGTTTTGGTAGGTCTTTTTCTGAATGTCTTTCAGTGGACTGTGTAGGGCACAAGGTCAGTACATCTGTTAGAGTAAAACAGTTACTTAATAGTGCACATGGCTCCCCCACTCAAGCCCCAAACACCATAGTCATGTAAACACACAAATGCAAGCCAAGGAAAGTTAATCCAGTTGATCAGAAGAGGGCACTTCATTTTTGGAGGTATTTAAACTCGTTAGCATATTCCATTTAATATAAAGGAGCAGCTAAAAGAAAGAAGAGGAATGTGGGCAGTATTAACCCAGTAAGACTATCAACAATTTACCAACAGTCAAACTTTGGTGGTAATGGTATAAAGATGTCACTGTTCCACATACCTGGTGGGCAGACACATTCAGATGGAGCCTCTCGCACTGTCCGCAGCTTGGCTAATCCTTCACCCAGTTTCTGTCCAGAGGGAGAGGGGGAAGAAAAAAAAAAAGAAGATATTTAGAGAATAAATATATACTCACTGCATGCGTACAAAGGGCCAAATTACAAAACAAATCCTCTTCATGCTATGGACAAAACTCCACCTCTATTTTTGTCAGTCCAGTTTAACAATAGGTTTCAGAGTAACAGCCGTGTTAGTCTGTATTCGCAAAAAGAAAAAGGAGTACTTGTGGCACCTTAGAGACTAACCAATTTATTTGAGCATAAGCTTTCGTGAGCTACAGCTCACTTCATCGGATGCATACTGTGGAAAGTTTAGAAGATCTTATTATATACACACAAAGCATTAAAAAAATACCTCCTCCCACCCCACTCTCCTGCTAGTAATAGCTTATCTAAAGTGATCACTCTCCTTACAATGTGTATGATAATCAAGTTGGGCCTGGATTTGTGCTGGAAATGGCCCAACTTGATTATCATACACATTGTAAGGAGAGTGATCACTTTAGATAAGCTATTACTAGCAGGAGAGTGGGGTGGGAGGAGGTATTTTTTCATGCTTTGTGTGTATATAATAAGATCTTCTAAACTTTCCACAGTATGCATCCGATGAAGTGAGCTGTAGCTCACGAAAGCTTATGCTCAAATAAATTGGTTAGTCTCTAAGATGCCACAAGTACTCCTTTTCAGTTTAACAATAGCTTCTTCTAAAATAATACACAAGACATTCAAAATTGGTCCGTCTGCCACCCTTACTCATGGAGAGTAAAACCTTTCCCCTTGGAAAGCAAAGAAGTTACTTGCCAAATAAGACACTACTTAAGCATGGCAGAATCTGGCCCAGAGATACTGTGGCAGGACAAGGAAACGTAGGCCATGCCTTACAGACATTTGTCCAACTTGTTTTTAGACGCTACCAACGATGGCAACTCCATGATCTCCCCTGGAAGCTTATTCCAGAGCTTAACTACCCTTATAGTTAGAAAGCTTTTCCTAATATCTAACCTAAATCTCTCTTGCTACAGAGTAACCCCATTACTTCTTGTCCTACCTTCAGTGGACATGGAAAACAATCCATCGCCATTCTCTTTATGATAGCACAGGAATTTAAATTTGACCGCTTTTGGAGGACACGTTCTGTGCCCGCACTGCGGCCCTGGAGGAGTTATGCCCCCGCCAACCATTGGGGTGGGACCATGCCTCTGCCTGCCCCCCCTGTGCACACCCCCAAGCCCTTAACATATTAGGAGACTTATCAGGTCTCCCGAGTCGTCTTCTCTCACGACTAAACAAGCCCAGTGTTTTCAACCTTTCCATATAGGTCAGGTTTTACAAACATTTCATCATTTTTGTTGCTCTCCTCTGGACTCTTTCCAATTCGTCCACATCCTTCCTCAACTGTGATGCCCAGAACTGGATATACTACTCCAGCTGGGGCCTCACCAGTACCACGTAGAGTGGGAAAATGACCACCTGTGTCTTACATACAAGAGTCCCGTTAATATACCCCAGAATCACATAAGCCTTTTTTCCAGCTTTTTGAATTTTAAACCTGTACTCCAAAATGCTTACAACCCCTCCCAGCTTGGTGTTATCTGCAAATTTTATAAGCATACTCTCTACTCCATTATCCAAGTCATTAATGAAAATATTGACTAGTTCTGGATCCAGGACTGACCCCTGCAGGACACCACTAAACACACCCTCCCAATTTGACAGCAAACCATTGAGAACTACTCTTTGAGTATGGTCTTTCAACCCACTGTGCACCCACCTTTTAGTAATTTCATCTAGATGACATTTCCCAAGTTCACTTATAGGCTACATTGCTTTCTACAAGCTTATGGGACACTGAAAACATTAGGCACTATTTACCCTCCTCCGTCAGCAGACATCAGCATAATACTGATACTTATTCTTTCACTGGGAATATTTGAACCAAAAGTTTTCTTCCAGCTTGTCACAAACTGCAGGAAACAACCTATTCACAGAGATGTAAAAATGTCCCCTAGAAGTCACCATAATAAATCCATGGTGGTAGCACTGATGGTATATTACTTGACTGCATATTTTTAAGCCCATGTTATCTGCATATATGTAGATATTTCTGTTGGTTTCAGGCACACAGTAGAACAATTCCAACTACAGGGTGCTGTACTGATGGAAGGGTGAAAACTGCTTGAGTTTTAAAATTGTTTTCTCCAAACACTTTCATATATATCATCATACATTAAAAGCCTTTTTTTTCCTTTTTTGGTCACAGAGCATGGATGCTGCTGCCTCATTTTCAAATATTCTGTACTACAACAACAGCATTACAACATCCATTAGAGAAAACAAGGGCACACTTGCAGTACACCTATCACAACAGCAGGTTTGTAAATATTATCCAGTAGGAGCCCAATCCAAAGTCCCTTGAAGTAAACAGAGAGGTTCCCACTGATCGGAATGGGTTTTGAATCAGACCCCCAACTTGGCTGTCGCCGATTCTGGTGGGGAGCAGGGAGAGAGGAACATATCTATTAAAATGTTTTGTTCAAGTTAAGGGTTATCTGTCATCTGAAAATGCCCCCAAAAAACTGTGTTTAAAACTTTCATCAATCTTAACTGGCTAGGAAAAATCCTCTTGTCCAGAATCCTGGGATAGCCACATAACTCAGTCCAGACATAGGAAACCTAATTATTCACTGCTCTCAAACCAAGCTGCTGACTTGCACTTAAGACTGACAAGCCAGTACTCCTGACCCAAGGCTGAAAGTGTCCCTAGTGTCCTATGGGTGAAAAAGTCTTTTTATTGACACAGTGCAGTGCTTGCAATTGTACATACATTTGTATTGGTTTGGATTGCAGAGCTTTATAGCCACATATTATAAAACTGCACAAATTCCTAAAAGAATACAGAGAGTTCAGTCAACTGTTAGTTTAGACCATTCTTGTTCCCAAATCCATCATGCATTTCTCTGACAACCACATATTGCAGTTTGAGCATTACAGGTGAGTCATTTATGACTTTTACAGTCATCCCGATTATAAAACTGATGAAACTGCCCAGGGCAAGAATGTACATTAGCCCATTTTTAATCCATTCATTAGATTTAGATATCTTGGGGAATAAGGAAAATATTTGCATCTCTTTAATTCTGAAATGAGTGTTGCGGTCTTCTATTGAATTTTCCTAAGCATTAAACTGATTAATCTGAACACTATATGGCTAATAAGGAACAATAAATCCATTGTGAACTAAATTGTCCGGCTCTGATTACAACTAAATATTTCTTTAATCCTCGCATTAAAATTTTTATGCATGAGAACTATGCCTTTTGAATTCAAGCTTTTGTTAAGGAGTAAACAGAGATATTACTATACCTGCACCATGTGGTTAAATACATATTGTATTGAGCACTGGCTCTCAATTTTTCAGATTACTGTATCCCCTGCAGGAGTCTGATTTGTCTTGCGTACTCCCAAGTTTCACCTCACTTAAAAATGACTTGCTTACAAAATCAGACATAAAAATACAAAAGTGTCACAGCAAACTATTACTGAAAAATTGCTTACTTTCTCATTTTTACCATAATTGATTGGAATATAAATATTGGATTTAAATATCAGTGTATAGTATATAGAGCAGTATAAACAAGTAATTGCCTGTATGAAATAGCTTGTACTGACTTTACTAGTGCTTTCTATGTAGCCTGTTATAAAACTAGGCAAATATGTACATGATCTGATGTACCCCCTGAAAGACCCCGTGTACCCCCATAGGTAGATGTACCCCTAGTTGAGAACCACTGAGTACACTGTACTATGAATCTATAGAATGTTTTCATTAAAGAGCAACATAAACTCTCAGTGAGGTTTTATGTAAATAAGACTTCAGAGAACACTAGCGTAGGTCTGTGTATTTATTGGGTCAAATTTACAAAAGCATGCATGAAATCCCTGAGGGTTTACTTGGGTCTACAACTAAAAGGGTGCATAAACCCCAATTTGGGCACCAAGATATTTGTTTTGCACATAAACTTCATGAGGTTGAGTTTTTTATTTACCCATTGTTTGAATCTCCATTCAGAAAAGCAGGAGAGGAGAAGAAATCCTGTCAACACGCCTCAACTAAGATCAGGGCCCCATTGTGCTAGACCCTACACAAACACATAGTATGAGACAGCCCTTGCCTCAAAGAAAGCCTTACAATCTAGATAGACAAGACAGATAAAAGGCAGGAGAAAGAGATACGATACACAAGCAGAAGATAGGGAACTGAAGCACAGAGAGAATAAGCAATTTGTCCAAGCTTAGGCCTTGTCTACACTGGCAAGTTTCTGCGCAGTAAAGCACCTTTCTGCGTTGAAACTCCTGAGGTGTACACTCTGCCAAGCCACTTAGTGTGCAGAAACTAGACAGTTGCAACGCTGTAAAAAAAACAAAAAAACCCCGATGAGAGGCGTATAGTTTTCTGTGCCAGGGCTACAGCGCCGTGGTGCCAGTGACCCTGGTTGATTACAGCGCTGCGATTGGCCTCTGGGAGGTGTCCCACAATGCCTGTTCTCGCCTCTCTGGTCATCAGTTTGACCTCTACTGCCCTGCCCTCAGGTGACCAACTGTGAGCCCTACCCCTTAAATTCCTTGGGAATTTTGAAAGTCCCCTTCCTGTTTGCTCAGCTACGCGTGCAGTGGTCTCAGCGTATCTTTCCAGGTGACCATGCCTGTTCCATGCACCAGACGATCCCCCACTTGGAGCAATGCCAAGCTGCTGGACCTCCTCAGCATTTGGGGAGAGGAGGCTGTCCAGTCCCAGCTGCGCTCCAGCCATAGGAATTTTGATACCTACGGACAGATTTCACGATGCATGACAGAAAGGGGCTATGACCAGGACACACTGAAGTGCAGGGTCAAAGTGAAGGAGCTGCGGAACGCCTACCACAAATCGCAGGAGGCAAACCAGCATTCCAGTGCTGCGCCCACGAGCTGCCAGTTCTACAAAGAGCTGGATGTGATACTCGGTGGTGACCCCA